AAAAAAAAAAAAAAAAAAAAAAAAAAAAAAAAAAAAAAAAAAAAAAAAAAAAAAAAGAGGGAGAGAGAAATTGTATAATTAGGGTTTATCCAAGGATAAAAATGCAAGGGAGTAGTAGAATCCTGTAATTAATGGGCTTGGAATTTGGGCCGGAAGGTCAGACAAGCCTTTGAAACGGAAATTAACATGCAGCCCAATAAAAGGCTCAAACGTGTACTTCCGACACTAATCTCTTGAGGCGATTTTCATTTTTCTTGTCCATTTCTTCCTTACAAATTGGTCAAAAGAAAAACAAATCCCATAAATGCTCATATGTGTAGACAAAACCAAGGATTTCTCATGCCTTTTAACTCAAACCCATTGATTTTATATGCATGGTAAACCTGTGTGCCAACCTCTCTCATTTGAACAACTCTGTTGCTATAGATACATCGAAACTATCTGTATCAAATGTCTGACTTATGAAACTTTTAAACAAACAACAAGAGAATAGAATAAATTAATATTAAGTTAATGATTTTTATGTCAAGCTGTTACACAAGTAGGTGGTTGAATCATTAATGTGAAGCCTTGAAATTTAGGGTCAAGTCCATTTTTAAAGGCACGGAAATAAGAGTGTGACCACCTACGGTTTTTATTCCTCTTTTACAAGGTTAGCCTTTATTTGGCAATTGGGTCCATACCCATTATTTTCATTCTTTCTCATTTTACCATTTTACTTTTTCCTTTTTCTCACTAAATTTTGATATCAAAACTTTACTGACCTACCACCCTAAATTATTGTAACATTACTCAAACTACCTTATATTTCTTTTGAAAAAATGGCTTCATTCAAAATTTCGCATTTTTTTTAGTGAACTGTTCAATTAAGTTGGATATTTATTTGTAGTATAGTATGTTAACGAATGGGTAGTATTGTCGTGAGGATTATCTAAGCGATGTTGGTAAATGTTCCCATCCAAGTGACGAGGAAGAGAACAAAGAAAATTAATTTACAAGAAATATTAGTGTGAAGCGAAAAAAACAAGGTAACTTTTTCTTTAATTAATAGTGTTTTAGAAACGTATGCGACGTTAAAGCACAAAAGTGAAATTTGGAACTTACGATAAATGTTAAAAAAAGCATAATTGTTTTTTCTGCTTGCGCCGACATAAGTTTTGTTTGTTAATATCATTACTTACTACTCAAAGTCTACTGGGTTTGACCAGATAACGTTTAAATTTATTATTTCTAATTTTCATGTTTCAATCGATCTACCGTATTAAATGATATAGATCGTTTTTAATTATTGTTGATATAACAGAGATATATATATATATGTGGTAGGAAAGTTTTACGTCATATTGGTTATATTTTTTAGAGAAAGTTGACACATGGGCCGGTCCATTTGAATTATTTGGATACTTAATCAAGTCCCGGGTTATAGGACAAGCCATATATATGTTTACTAAAAATATATTTGTTAGTTTTTAATTAAAAGAAACTTTATAATCCAACATTTTATTAATTTAAACTAATAATAATATCAAAATTTGAAAATAACTTACGTAAGTTTTAATAAATCTCAATAACATTGAGTTAAGAAAAATTTTAAATTATTGTTTTTTAAAACAAATTTACTCATCCAATGAGTATATGGAAATCCAACTTAAACTTTACTGGAATGAACCAAATTTAAGGATTGATTATTGAAAATTGGGTCAGTTCGGCACAACCAAAAGTGTGCATTAAGCCCACTAACCTTGAGCCCAAGCCTAATTTGGGCTTTTTTTTTCAGGTTCAGGCTCGACCAAACCAACCTAATGACAAAGGTGAGTTAGTATGGTATAGGAATACAAACATTTGCTTAGTATGATAGGAACGATTTATTAAAGTTAATTGTGCTATGTAAACTAAATTAAACTAAATATAGATTATAATTAAATATTTCATAGAATTATAGGACAAAGACGATAGGGACAATTCATAAGGGTGAGTTAAAATGATAAAATTCAAAGAAATAAAAAATAAAAAAGAAAAATTTCTTCCCACGCTTGAAATGATTTCAAAATGGTGGAAATATAATGTTTCGTAACTTTAAATGAAAGCATTTGTTCATCTCAACCAAACACAAAAATATATATATAATCCATATGACTAACAAATATTTAGAAAATTTGATAATCTTGAAACTAAAATAAAATTAAAAAAAAAAAAAAAAACATCTAAATTTGGTCCTGGTAGATCGATTCAAGCTAAAATTTTCACTAAAAATCCGTAAACAGAAACATGTAGAAGGAGCGAAATCCAAACAAGTTGTGTTTGTGTTCGCAAATCAATTCCAAATGTACAATAAAAATCTTCATTTTAGTAATGTTACAAAAAGAATATAGCTCTAAGACTGACCAAAAACACCTTCAAATCTCAGCGTCGACGAGACGGTGGCAAATATTCATGTTCGATCGACGGCAAAGTTCGAGTCCCCGGAGCGGTCGGAGCTCTGACGTGTCCGACCATTGAAACCTGCAGAGCTTCCTCTTCGTACGCTCTAATTTCCAGCTCCTCCATTCTCGTCCTCTTCTTCACTCTAACAAACATCGCCACCAAAAGCAACCCCAACAGAAACGCTCCGATCGCCGCCCCAATCGAGCTCCCAATCGCTACCTTCCATGGCCGCTCCTTTTTCTTCAGCTCCACCGGCTCTGGCTCCTCCACTACCAACCCAAAATGGCCCTGTCTCAAAACAGAGCATATCAATGGCGAAATTTCCTTCGCCAAAGTCACTCTCCCATCCCTCTCAAAGCTCGCACAAATTGGCCTCATTCCCGAAACATTCTCCATTCTCGTCGAGTTTCTGAAGTCTATCGTGATGGGTTTTTCTCCGGCGGATATTCCGACCTCAAATGGAACAGCGGAACTGGAACTATTACTGTAATAGCCGGAATTATAAGCCAAAAGCCCCAAAATTGAAGACACTAATTGGTAACCGGTTAAATGGTAGTTGTTGAAGTAAATGGAGGACCAATTGGAGCCCAAATTTTGTCGGATGATTACGATTCTTTCCGCACATGGGTTCAGAGAAACGCCGACACCCAGATGGAATTCCTTCACCCTGGCGCCGTACCGCCGTAAACTTCCGCATCGGAACCTGGCCGTGTCGACATTGACGCCGGAGAAATTTTGGGGCAATGGGACGTTGTGAAGTGTCCCTGTTTTGATTGTGTTGTCGAGGGACTTGAATGTGTAATCTCTGATGTAGAGATCGAGGAGATGGGTTGATTGGAGTTTGTGGGGCTGAGCTTTGAGGAACGCCATTGATGAGGCCGACGAGAAGAAGAAGAAGAAGAAAAAGAAGAAGAAGCCCATCGGAGAAAGGGTTTGAAGGGCTGTTTTGGTGCTGTCTTTTGCTGGTTTTCTTGTGGGAATGTATCAAAAGAAGAGCTCTCGTTGAATGGCGATGCGAAGGAAGCAGCTTTTCCTTCCTTTCCCTTAGTTAAATCTGTTAGATGTAAAAGGAAATGAAATTGGTTTGATCTGTGAGGTTCTCTGAGTGAGCTGTAAGGAAGAGAAAAGAGAAAAGGGAAAGGAAAAGTTGTCTTTGTTGCATTATTTTATAGTTGAATTATATATATCTATATATATATAGCCTTTTGCTTTTCATTCCTACACTAATAAATTTTAATATGTTCAAATTTGTGTACAGCTTTAAGCTTCATTTCCTTTTCTAAGTAACATTTAAATGTTATTACTAATTAGTAATATCCAACTGGAAGGTTACCCAACGTATAATTGTTTAAGCTTTTATCATATCTTATATCTTTAATTTTCATTCTAATCAAGTCCAAGAACGTGACCCTTTGCTAGAAATAGATCAAAATCTTAAAATTGATATAAAATGGGGTAAGATGATGATAATT